GAAGGAGGATATATAATTCAAGAAAAATGATAAATAAGTTAATGAGAAAGTCAAAGAAAAAATTAACCAATTAATACTAAGCAAAAGGTTATAGAAAGACAGAAATAAGCGACTTTAATGCACTACATTATTCATCTTTAAATTTGTACATTCATTTATTTGAAAAATATATTTCTTACCCCTATATACATTGTGTCTCTATACAAGATGCATTTTGCATTATGACTTATGCATTTAAGAAAATAAATTACAATTTCCTTCAAAATATCACTTTATTCTGTTTTTTAAAGCCTGTGTTTTTAAAAATTATCCAAGAATATTAATTTTGGGAAAAGATCCTACGAAGAGTTCAGGCGCTAGTTTTGTGTACAGATGGACGATTTCGAACGAACATTTTTTCCGGTATTTGGTATTTTTAGTCCTGTAAGTGTATGGCATGTTTTATCGCGAGAGAAGATCTGCTCTCTGTAGATGGTCTGATCCGGCGCCGATCCGGCGCCGGCGCGGGATTTTCCCCAACCAAGTACCTCCCACCGAGGCACCACCCCAACCGGCTGAAGCTCTAAGCGCCCCACCGGTCTCCCGGCGTGTGTGCTAGTGTAGTGCATGTTAATGAAAGTGTGCTTAATTAAGCGATAAGGAAAGGACAAGGAAGAGGAGGGAAAGATCGCGCGCGGTCCGTGGCCCGTTTGTGAGGGTACTGCTCCGGCATTCGCCTGGTGTGGATCGGAAAACAATGGAAGACTACCGATGAGAGCATGGGACCACTAGAATTCTTCTCCACACAGCGTCTGAACTCGATCTAGTTATTTAGACACTATCGTAAATCCTGCAACCGTCGGGAGTGGAACTCGAGGACCTCCCGTACAGAGGCACTGCAGTGACATCGGTTGATGCCCTGAGCCACCTAAGTCGGTAAAACGTCGAGACGGGAACGGTAAGTGAATGTAGCAGCCTTTCACTCACCCACGCGTCGTGTTCCTTCTTGGTGGTGGTGGGGGAGAGACGCTTTTGTCATTCAAAATCGTATTACCTGCTGCAAGGTGGAGAAGGGACGCTCGTAACGGTTACAAAGGAAAATCCAGCTATTTAGGCCACAAATACATCCTCGTCTTCCATTTGGGGCTACAAAATTCTCGCCGAAAGAAATACGTTGTGTTGAAGAAATGTAACAAGAAGTGTTGAAGTTAAAGCTAGAAATTCTGTCAACAATGGTAAATTAAAAACATTTCGTATCTGTTATTCTAATTAACATCTCTCAAAATTAATAAATAGCGTAAAATACACTGCAGATTAGTGTGTTTTATGGCATGTTTTATACCTTATTTAGCATAATTTTCCTTATTTAAATACTTTTCAAGTCTAGATAATTTTATTTTATATTCCAGCCCAAGCAAATAGACAGAAAGGCCTCGGAACTGCAACAAGAGCTCCATTCAACAAATCCTAGAATATGACTGCAACGTATTTGGAGTACTAGTACAGTAAAATATAAATAGAATATCATGCGACTATGGATAAATTCACAATGGAACTTTGCTGTTACATAATATATAATACACATATCAATGTACTATAATTACTTAATACACACATCAATGCGAAATCTCATCAGGCCAGTACCATCTTGAGATTATTATTCCCTTGTAGAAATATGTTCTGCAAAAGGCAAGTAAGGTTGCGAAATATTGAAAGTCTAATTGATTTTGACTCTCGTTTTTCCAGATGGCATCGACGGTTTATAGCCCATAGTTATCCAGTGTATTAGAACATAATGCAGTGTGTTCAAAATTCATGTCTTCGTTTTTCTTTTTTAATTAGAAAATACGACAGTCTTATTTACAAAATCACGTTGGTTATATGTGAGACAACACTCTCATCATTTCTCGTGCACAACTATACTTGAAAATCATTTATTACGCGAACATAGAACGCTGTTCTGCCATTACCGCGACATGGAAAGGCATTATTCAAATTTACCTCTCATATCTAGCCTCAACATTTTATAATAACTAGCCGAAGGAACTAGTATTGACTTCTCCAGGTAACCTTTACAAAGGGCTCTTTACGTTTGTTCAGCTTAACTTCTGCTTTATTTATAGTTAATCGTGTTTTTATCACGTACTTGTGTGTATAATTGTTTGTGTACTACCGACATATCACGATTCAATATTTCTCGAGCGCAGAGACCCTCGAGTTGTAATGCGATGAAATTAATTTATTACAAAGTCATATTTTGAAGGAGCTAATTTTCATAAACTTCCTTAACTAATGGTTTAAAATACTCTGTCATCAATGGAACGTTTAAATGGCATGCAAATCTAGTATATTAGCAATGTCGCCCGGCAAGCAGAGTTCCAAATGCGATTTGCATTTTGGATTATGCCACTTCTTTAGGAAATTCTCTTCTTCAACTTGAGTAAGGCAGATAAATCTTTTCCTATGTGAAAACTGAGGTGACGAACAGGGGAACCCAATCATGTAAAGTCCCAAATTTGCATTAAAATTAGGCAAAGAAAAATTGAAAATATACATCTGTAGCAAAGAAAGTACTAGTATATGTTCCAACATACACGGGAAGATTTATTTCATAAAAAAGATATTAGGGATGATTTATAAACTATGGTTTTGAAATATGATTTATGAACATTGAAATGATAAATCATCATATTATGAATCCAACAGAGAAAGCTTCAATAATAGAACTTAATAAAATAAGGAGAAGAATGGGCTGCAAAATATTTAATTACATTTTAAGACAATAATATTTCACCTCCATTAATTAAAACTCAATGATACCCTGAAAACATAATACGTTACATTTTCGGGGACGTTGTGTTGTTTTTTTCTTTTGCGATTCCAAGAACATGCCATCTCTAAGTTGTAAGTTACAATATTATTAAATTATCTTTGTATAACACTCTACTGTTTCAATTTGTATCTATACATTTATGTATTACGTGGTTAGACGGAAAAGCGGGCTTGATGGCCCGAGTTTCGCCACATAAATAATATTGTTATTATTATTATTATTATTATTATTATTATTATTATTATTATTATTATTATTATTTGTTTCTTTTGATTTATTTGAAAAGTAATTTCTTAAATATTTTCTGACGCTGCATTCAGCAGAGATAGTTGGCATAGGAAAGTTGCTCCCTAGATGAATACTCTGTGCAGCTGGGCGACGCTTTGACGTCACGAACCTTTCTCCGAAGGGTCGACAGGTAACAGATGTAAATAGAAGCAATTTCCTTACTGGCGCTTCCAACGTTTGTTAAGCCGTTCTTTGTTTGAAGCAATCTTCTTATTAGCAATGGGCTGGCCCAAGACTTACAAGCAAACGCGTCCTTCTCATTGCTTTTGCTGGAAACCTGTTTGCGGAGGGTAAAACTAAAATGATTCTTGGAAAGAGATGGCTTCAATTTTACTTTTGGAAATATTACTTTTTCAAAATAATATTACAGTATTTTGGACATTAATAAAATTACAAAATTAATGTCAAGACCCATTAAAAATTCATCTGAGTACTTTTTTATATTGGATTTTATGAAGAGTAAACTAATCCCCAATACGGAATCAGATTTCGAAAGTGCTGCCAAACATAACCAAATTAATATAAAAGTTTCTTTGAAAGAATGTCCTGTTGTGTACGATCTATATGTTTTAAAATTTCGAGAAACAGATTTCCGAGGTACCTGATACTGAAGTCATACAGTGAATTCTCTAAGAAAAAATAGTTTTAAACATAAATTCATACGTACCGCAAAGTTTGTATTAAATACATGAACGATTTCAACAACAAGAATTCGAAATGGGTCGTTCATTTTACGCAAGGGTATTTGTACACCCTTGATGTTAGAAAGGCGGGTGATTTTAAAAATAAACAATTATAAAAAGGTTATTTTAGAACGTGTTTTTTGAATTGCCTCTAAATCATTCAATTGGGACGCTATAAAACTAGGTTATCAAGTATATGTTAAAACATTTTACAATTTTTATTTTTATTTTCGTGCTAGGAGACTGTTGAATACATGGATCCGTTCCTGATTCAACCTAACAATGCGTGCAACAATCTATTGTTTAAAAGTCACTGATTACGGATGCGACGTTGCCAACAAAATATCAATGTTCAAAATTAATGCATCGATGTTAATAAAACATCGCCCCCAAAACGTTGATGATATTAAAACTGCCTTACTGTTAACGTGGGGGTAAATTATTTGACGACGGTCGCGTTTATTTGTTTTTAATTTGAATTTAACTGATAAACACAGTAAAAAAGATCAGGTAATTCGGCAAAGCTTTTATTAACTGACGGGATAATTATAAAAATTATATGGATCTCACTTTTCGACGAAAACCTGATATTCATTTATTTTTCACTTTTATTCACTTCGATCTGAAGAATGTTCAATTAATGAACATCTCAAAATTATAACAGGTTTTTATTATGATAGTATGTTTTTCATTAAAGAAATATCAGCCACGAAAAAACATCGAATCCAAAACACCGATGCTAAAAATACATCGACTTAAAATTCGATATTAAATCCATCAATAATTTTAGAAAAAATGAATGATGTGAAAATATCAACAATAACTTCTCCTAACTATCCCCAATTTGTGCAGCCCTTCTCTTGCCTTCGCACGACTCTATTATTCTATAATTTAAGTAAAGAGACTTCTGACGTTGGTTCAGCTGGGACGCAGTGATCCAATCGGGAGCTTCAATACCAAAAATTAAGTCGTAACGAAGCCTCCGATTGGACTACTGCCTCCAGCTGATGATCTGTCTCAAGTGACTTTATTTAATTTAGAAAGTTTTTTTAAAAATTGACTGCTATTATTTCAATATATTACACAATTAATTTGATTCCTTGTTATATTAGACATTCATATATAATTCGTAGTAAAATTTCTTTGGTACAAGAAGATCACTTTATTTAAATTGGACAGTAGAAGGGCGGAATATGCGAACAGTCTGCCTCTCCCAGAAACCTCACCCGCCCATCACAAAAGCGCTGGCCAATCGCGGAACAGACTACACTTGCCGAAAACTCGTGGTTCACTTGCCGCGGCAAACAGGTGCAGTTTCCTTTAAGCCGGGCGTCTGGTCGGAGGGTGGCACAGGTAGCTGTTTTGTTGTGCTTCTCTCAAATTATTTCGCAGTCTTCGAAGAAGAAAAGTTCGAATCTGTTCTGGTGAGTAACATTGTGTATTATGCGTATTTTCATGAAATGGGAAGTCACGAAGTTGTATATTGTTTGCGTGCTTTTCTTAAGGAAGATGAACGTTCATGGTTTTAGATCAGAGTAAAATCGAAAACTATACTATTAGTACTTGCGTCTATTCCAATAATGTAAATTTTGATTTATTTTGATTTGGAAATGTAAAATACAATTTGCTCACTTCTGTATTAGAAAACGTTATCAATGTATGTACGTGCGTGCTCTAAAATCATTCTGTTGTCTTAATTCGGTACTGTACTCATAAGTTGTTCAGAAGTTTAAAAAAGGCCTATAGCCTATTGTTTGGCATTACTTGGTAAACTTCGTCTGTAGCTAGCGCGAGAAGTCTTGGCTGCCAATATAATTGTGTGACAAATTGGGACGGTTTATGTGCGCTTCCTAAACAATATATATTAAAACAATGCGACTTCTTCCATTTGAGCAATACATCTTGTAAACATGCTCGCCTTTGTGAACATGATAGTACTGAGAATGCATTGGAAAATGAAAAGATTTTAAAAGCCGAAAAGTCAACTCTCTCTGCTCTTGACGCCACCTTGGGGGATACTTTTCGTTCATGTTTAACCTTTTTTATATATGTAAGATAATTAGTCATAAATACAGTGATGTGTACTATTTTTTCCGCAGTTTTTGGAAGTCGTTAAATGGAGTTCCTATTTTTACAATGTTTTGGGCTTTAACATGTTTCGACTTTCTATAGCATTCTTGTCAGTTATAGACAACTTGTATTTTCTGCTCTCACGATTTTCATGTTTGTGTAGTGACCTATTCATGTATAAACTTTCATTATCCACAATAGTTAATCTTCGTTGGCATTGATCTCTTTCGGCAGGACCGAATTTATAAGATGAACTTGATACAATGCAGCCTGGAGATACCTGCTATTCAGGGAACTTTTGCAAATACATTTCAAATATTGAAAAATGAACAATAATATCTTTTCTAATAAAACCTTTTCTCTTATATCTATTTCACTATTAATTAACACACAGTTTCTTTTAAAATAAAGACATTTAATTTCATACAAGAGTGAATTATTCTGTTTTTTTAATAAATAATTATAAGTGTGTAATGTTTCGCTAAAGCTTCCTTTTTATCCATCTTCAGGTTTGTTTTAAAGAGCATGAAAAATAGCTTGCTGTAACTCGGATTCACAACGCTTTTCTGGGAATAATTACGTCTAGTAGAAGTTTGATATGAGAATGGATTTTTTTTTCAATAATGGCCGCTGAACGGTAAATATTTTTCTGCAACGCTTGGCAACGTTGCATCTTAAACCATCTTTGTCGTTTTCGCTTTATTCTTTGATCGATTAGCGGGAAGTTTGCATTGCGTATGCGCTTTACTTTGCACTTCCACCTGAATGATGTATGATTGCAATGGTAATTAGTGGGCACTGTTTTCGAATTACAATTGTATTGGTTACTGGTGTATTAAATACATTTTGTCGAGTTTAAATTAATTTCCAAAAGCGCGTCTGTAGTTTCGTCACAGTATAACTGGTTTGGGAGAGGATGAGCAGCTAGAGCACAGTTTGAATATGAATCTGACGAAGAAAATCGTGAGAAATTACGTAAAGTCGGAGAAAAAAAATAAATAATGTCCAGTAAGTTTATGAATACAACACTTAGAATTGCACTTCACTACACCTCCTTTTTTAGGTACAAAGCTGTAGTAGTTATTTTTCATTGTAGAAACAAGAGATCACCCATTGTATTACAATTGTCAATAAGTAATTAGAAATTACATAGCTTACATTGAAAGGTAATAGCTTACATAAGAAGGTAAATATAAACAATTTAATCATACTAACTCTCATTGTTACAACAATAATTCATGTTAACTCAGGTACTATTAATTAGTGGAACTAATCTCAAAAAACTCATCCACCTTATATATACAATTATCAATTTTTTTCTGTAATAATGGTTTAAATTTACTTTAAATTTAAAAATCTTCCTTTAATTCCCTCTCCCTCCCCCAGAAGAATGTATAAAGGTCTTAAAACTTTTAAAAAATTGATACCTTAATATAAAGATTCTCCTTTACTCACATCTCATCTAGAATAATCCTTCAAGCATGTATTTAATGTCACACAAAATATTAATACTTTTTGACCATTAATATGCTTATATGAATTGTATGTAATGGTCTAATGGAATTACTGTAAATATGTATAGTCTTATGTAAATTCTTTATTGTTACTCCTGGCTGCTTATGATGCAGTTGCTGAAAAGTGACCTTAAATAAATATGTTTTAAAAATAAACTTAAATTTAATTGATGGCAACTGAAGAGGAAGGGCACTGTAAAATATCAGACGTGTAACAGAAGGTTTTTTACTTCTAAATAATTCAAGACAATATCTATTTCTGGTTGTATGATCATGCCAGAACCTAATGCTTCATAAAAATATAAATTATCTTTCATATAAAAAGGACACTGAAAAATAAACATGGCTGGAACAGTCATAACACCTAACTTTACAAAACTCAACCTACAGTGGCTGCACATGGGAAGACTTCAGAGTAATCTCGCATATTTTTTGCAGTTTAAGTAGTCTATTCAACAGAAACGCAGTGCCGAAGTAGCAATGCTTAGCTTGATGACTGAGTATATGAGAATATTACTACTGTTTCAGCACTCTTATACTTACAAAAAGCCTAAGTATTAAAGTAGCATATGTGTACGTATTAATATTCACCTTCGCAACATTTTTGATCCTACTTTAATGAATCTCATCCTTCCAAATCAATTTTTGATTAATTAATAACTCTAAAAAGTTGAGAGTTTTGCTACTTGTTTATGTTTCAATTAATTTTATACCAATTCAATTCATTTTATTTAATTTTTTTAAAGAGGTATCACTTAAATGAGTTTAAAATATATTGGAAAAATGTCATCTACAGTACATAAGTGTACAATATGGAGCAGTGCCTCCTTTAAAAAATTCAAACCATATTTCAATTAGAGTGAGTGTAAGTAGTAGATATCTTCACACCTGCTACTAGTCAGTTTCATTGTTACTCATTCTGTGACAGCTACTGCCACAAGGTTGAAAGCACTGTCAGGTTTCTGCAATGTATTTAGATAAAACTAGAATTCTTGCTATGTTGAATCATAGACATTTTGCTCAGTATTTCTTCAATTTTGTTCACAAAGAAATTATTGAATTTATAAGCACTAAGCATTTTGTTACATTGGTTATTCTTTACGGACCTGAAACTAGTCTCTTTTCGTATAATGTCCCACATGGCCATTAATTTGTTACTAAAGCTGTCAATAATAATAATAATAATATTTCTTATTCTAGTTTCCTTAACTAACATAAGCAATGCTTTTTTGCAGCTTTTATAAATGATTTTAATATTACTTAAGCTGGTACGAATATATAAATCATAATAGAATTTACAATTTTCTTCAAGTTTACCAATCTCTTTATTTCGAATGTTTGTTGGTTTGGGCCCCTTCAGTTTTCCTTTAACACATTTAAGAGGAAGAGCTCTATCACTTAGACTGGTTTGTTTGGATAAAAAGAATTTTACTTTTTCATTCAAACTGTGTAAAGAAGTATACATATAATTCTAGCCGATTCCTGAGAGTTCCTGTATAAAGTTTTAAATATTTTTCTCTTTAATTATTCTTATTGGTTTTTCTTTCTTAATTGCGAGAGATAATCTCTTATGTTCATTTACCAGAGTTTTTATGACAACTGCTCAATGATCTGATACTGTTTTAACAACTAAGTTCTCAATGCATCAATCTTTAAAAGTAATAATATTATCAAGAAAACTGCCACCATATACTTAGTCTAGTAACCTCAGATATGGTAGAAGTTAAGTCAAGTGAAGAAACGGTATTGGTTTACAATACAACTTCCAAATTATTTTTCAATGGAAAGTGAACATTGAAGTCTTCACACAATATATTTGCATTAAGAGTATATAAATGTTTTAATAGTATACTTATAATATCAATAGATCGATTAAAATCTTTACACTCAATGTTAGGCCTATGTAAAGCTACCACAATTGTATTAATTTCAACTAAAAATTATGCAGCAACTTCAAATACCATTTAATTAGAGATCCTATTAGTTTTTTGAATAGGTCTTTGAGAGAAATAGTGCCCTCCATAGCACATCCCCCATGCTTTCTTAGTCTTACAATAACTGCTACTTAGACTGTAACCCTAAAAGCTAGACTTTAATTACTCTGGGATGAAACGAGTGTTCAATAATAGTCTATCATCTAGATTCATACTTCTGACATAATTTTTCACTATATTAAACCTACTTCACAACCCTTGAACTTTCCATAAAAGACTAGTCAACTTATTAGACTTATGAGTGAGTTTCCTGTGTGTTATTTTTTGGTTGTCTCTTTATAGAATTTCAGGAAGACAAAAAATGGTTATAATTATCCTGCTTGGTATATCCTACAGTTAGACTCAATCCTTCATTACTCACTTGTTTTTGTTGAAGATGGATTTAATCTTGCTCATTAATAATTGTACTAAAAAGATTTTCCCTTTCCATTCAAATGTTACTGTGAATTAAGAAAGTAAATAATATAAAAAATGAAAAAAATGACTGTTAATCTGTATAAATAGTGTCAACATATAAAGTATGTTAATAAGATTGAACAATAGTTATGAGAAGAAATCTTCCATCCAACTTATTATTATAGAAATATTTTTTAATGTAAAGTTGATGATCAGTAAAAAGGAATGGCTAAATGTTTGTTTGTTTTTTGTTATGTATTAGGAATTAAATGTCATTTTAGTCACCTCAAATATATTACATAATTATTAAACCAGGCCTTTAAAAACATTAGAAATGAAAAGCTATCTTTCTGGCATCTAAAACTGTCTCGAAAGGATTAAATTAGACACTGTTTTATTTTGGGAAGAATGGAGTATTTTTAAATTATTGAGTTACTATAAGCTTTTTATTTTATTTTTATTTCATATTTTTATAACATTAATTCTTTTACACTTTTTGTTCTCAACCTGTCAACAGTGCAGCTGCACTAAGAATAGGTGCAATTGCCTAAGAAGTGTGTGCTTATTGCAGACGAGTATGAAACATCTTTATATTGACCTGCAGAGCTCCTTATGTTTTGGGTGTTGGGTGGAGATTTTCCACAACCTTCTAAAGCAACTAAATAGGCATTAGTCCTATAATCAGAGGTCTAATCATCACATATATTGAGCCGTCAACTAAATGTCTTACACGTTTCTGAATATTGAAATATTATTGAAATTTTTTCTAACAATTCCCTTATTTAATGTTTCTGGAGGAAGATCATTTTCAGTTTTAAAGAGAGGGGCGAAAATTATTTAAAGAATACAGTAGGAGAAGAAAGATTAAATAACTTGGCCACTTTCTATATAGACTATAAAATTTTAAACTGCATTGATGCTCCTAAAGTGATTGATGGTTTTGCAAGAAATAAAGTGAGAAAGAAATGCATATAAATTTTTTTCTAATTAAATAAAAAACAATAAAAAGTAAGACGTTTTTTGCATGGAGGTTTGATTTGACTGGAGCTGCTGTTGTTAAATCTGATAATTGAAGATTGCCTTCTAATTCTTATTTATTTACCCTTATTATTTTGTAGTACAGTGAATTATAATGCTCAATTTTATTTACTATTTTATAATACATTGAATATTTTTAAATCAATATAGGAGTGTTAGAAACTGAATTGGTTTTTTATTTTTAGATTGTGTTTATTAGGAAGAACTATACACATCTATACAGTTACACACCTATACAGTACACACCTATACATCTATACATACAACTCATCATAATTTATTTATGACGACTTGTTTCGTTTTATAAATGCATAGATCATTACATTTTTCCAATTTTTTATTGCAGATATTAAAGAAGGAAGCAGCTGCGGAATACAATAGGGAAATGGAGGAATCAGTTCCCCGAATTAATCCAAATTGGCATCTGGCTAATCCCAGATTGCCTCCAAGGCCAGAGTGTCCAGCTGATCAGAAGTGGAAGGACCTAGCTGCAGGGGTGGATGAGAAATTCAAGGATGCCGAGGAGCATTTTTTGACTGCAACTGCAGATATACAAAACTACATGCAAACTGTATCGGACCATATAAAGAAAGTGCACAGTGAGATAGAGGCTGATATGGATACAAAATCATCTGAGCTCATTGAAAAGAAGTTGAAAGAAGTGGAGGAACGGTTGTGCAATTTGGTTGATAGGAATCTTAAGTCAATGGACAAGAAACTGAGAAGAGTGGAGAAAGCAGTATCGGACGAGATGGAACAAGTGGGAACATTAGAGGCAGTTGCAGACGGACAGACTCAGTTACCTGATCAGGCTTTTAGAAATGGTAGGGAAGGAGAGATTTGTTCTGACACTAGGATGAGAATGGAAGCAGTAGACAAAAAAGTTGGTGCTCTTGAGAAATCTGTTGCAAAAGCTATGTACCATCTATTGCCTAAGGTGGATGCTTTGTTTCAGAATCTAGATATTAAATCTAAAACAATAACTAATGACCAAATCACATTGTCTATATTTGCTGCAGCAGGCTACCGCCTGCCCCCAGCTACTCCATATTGGGTTAGCGACCTTTCCATCCTTTCCTTGGACAAGGAATTATTAATGGCTAGCTATTTGGGTGAAATGAAGAAGGTGAAAGGGCTTTTGTACCAGGGAGCAGATAAAAATGTTAGATGTGCTCAGGGTTACACACCTTTGCATTTGGCTGCAAAGAAAGGACACATTAAAGTTTTGAATGTTCTTCTCGAAGAGGATGCAGATGTGAATGGGGGGCCAGCAAAAGGAATGACACCTTTGCATTGGGCTGCAATTCAGGGTCATGTTTCATGTGCTAGTGCGTTGATAGAAGCTGGTGCAGATATTGAGAGAACTACCGACAATGACTGGACAGCATTGCACTTTGCTTGCACCAAAGGTTGTAAATTTTTAGTGCAATTGCTCCTGCAGGCAGGGGCTGATCGTACAGTAAAAAATTCCTGTGGCAAGACGCCTCTTGATCTGGCTATTTGTGAGCCAGTGAAAAAAGTATTCAGTGATCTTGAAAAAGGATTCCCTATTTTCTCTTTTGTTAGACCAAAATAAATTTTATGCACAAAAAGAAAACGTCAGTAAAAAGAAAAGGAAGGAAAGATTATGAACATCAGAAACCTCTTTTGGAAGGAATTACCAAATGTTAACTTATTGTTCAGTGGAAGCCTTCCCTCCATATTTATTTGATGATTTTAAGAATCTGATGAGAAATCTTGTTTAATTGCTTGTGAATTAAATTTAGGTATTATTGGAGAAGAAAGAATACCTTGCAACTTTCTCAGTCTTTCTTTTTTTCTCTGATATGCTAGCGTCACTGACACAGTGGATACCTTCAATAGCATGCAATTTATGTTATGAAAATTGTTAAACTCCATTTCCCACTCTATCAAATGATACCCCATTGTGTCTGGGATTCAAACATGCCATAATTTTAAGAATGCGTGACATCAGTTATGCAGTATTGTTTCTTAATTGATGATGTGTGACTATATTAATATTAGTGTTCAGTGACCTTAACCGTTTTTTAAACTCCCAAATTTCTTGGGAATATTGCTGGTTTGGTTTTGTTACATCATATTACATGTGTAAGTTAAGAAAATATTGTCTAAAATATTGAACAGTAAGATGTAGTAGGAAATATGTCTGTACTTAAATTGCTCAGAGTGTGTCTTATGTTAATTCTAATATTTTATTTTTTGACTTCAGTTTGCAAGGTGTTATATAGGCCTTTGCTGCATGTGTGAATATTTCACAGTCAAGATCTTAATTTTGTCGTACATTAATGTAATTATGTATAATAATTGCTAACAATTCTCTTCAAATATGAATTTGAACAATTGTTGTTTAGATTAGTGTTGTCATTTGGTTGTAATTATACTTCCAAGAAATACATTGGATTAGAAAGATTCTTTTTCTGCACTTTTTCTCCTTTAATTGTAAAAGCATTCTTTCAGCTTATAATTTTATATTATTAGTTTAATGATATGACAATAAAGAAATGTAAAAACCAATAACTTTTGTTTTAGTTTCCCTTGGAACCTGATTGAACCATTGATTATAATTAACAAAAAATTACCTTGATGTTTGAAAATTGGTAGTTCAGTTATAAATTATTTTAAAATAATAAATTAAAATCCATCTTGCAATTGATTATTCTATGTATTGTGATTTGAAAAATTTACTCATGAATTATAATATCACAATCACTACAACTTTTGCCCATATTTTGAATGATTGTATTAGCTTACTTTTGCTTTTGTTGAACCATTTTCATTTTCAATGTTTGTTTTGTTAGGTCATTTAACTTTAGTTTCATTACTAAATTTTGGTGGTGGCAATGTCTTGTAATTTCATGGTTTATGGAATAACTTTTGAATTGAATTAATGCCTTATTTTATGTGGCGAGACTTCGGGTTATCAGGCCCGCTCTTTTTCTATCTGACCGCGCAAATTTCGCTACGCTTTCACCAACTAGCAGAGAAAGGAGGTATTTCTTCGGTGAGAAACAGGACAAACATTCAAACAAATTTGAATTTAGCTCATAGGCGTCATTTAGGCTGGAGGATCTATTACATGCAAGTAAATCTACTAGCATGGGACAGCCGGCCTTACTTCCCTTCCGAAGGAAGGCGTACAGAGAATTTTTTCGACCCTTAAAAATCCACGGCTTCAATGTTTGAACCCGCGAACTTGGGTATCATCAGTTCGATACGTTAACCGTTATACCATCGCCGCGAGTCAACTTTTAAGTTGTGTTACAATACGTACTTTTTAAAAATATTTGTAATACTTCAATGGAGTTCATTGGAAGACTGTCAGAGATATATTACTTATTTTGCCCTCTTTCTCCACTATTTGGTCATGATTGGAGTATTATATCCTTCACGAATTCAAATTCCTGGATCAGTGAAAACTTATGAAATATCTCTGACACCAGACAGACCATACGAACATGGTGTGTTCTTGTGAGGATTTTGAACTAATTCATTATTGTCACTACAATATAACATTCATTTCATTAGAGTATACATATGCAAATATGTCTATTACTACAGTGAAATTGTTGCTACAACATTTTGAATCTGGGCTCCTTAGTATAGTTTTTGAAGGTGCTAAACGTTGTGTTGCAAATTGTTAATATTTTACTATAATTCTCTTTAAAAAAATTATCTTCTCTTCTTGCAATATTGTTAAATAGAATTCATAAGTTGAATGGTGTTTGGAGCTGATCCAGAGATGAATTAGCCTGAATACACAGATTCTATATATCCAAACTAGGGTGCAAATCTATAATTTTCTTATGGAGGAGTTGCTCAACACTACAGTGGGGAGAACATATAGACAAGTGTAACAAATACCATCTTTGCTTAATCAGTCCAACCTAAATTAATCCCAAAAATGTTTTTTGGTAATTGTTTGTATTCAATTTTCCTTACTTGAGCATTTTAGTACGAAAATAAAGGAGTTATCTATATATGTATTCCATTGGAAATATTTCACACATAGTGACATTACTCTGTAAACAGGGAATGTAATAATTTATACTGTATTAATGTTTCAAAATGTGTTCATTTCAAAAGTAACAACGAAACGTATATGGTCCTGGCTGTTTTGCCACGACAGCCTTCAGATGATCCAAAGATTGTTGATTGTTTAGTGTGATTAGTCATGTGCCAATTGTCCTTAAACATAGATGCAACTAATATATAATTAAATAATAAATATATAACATTGACTTATTTTATAACAAATTATTTAAGTTGAGATAATTTTCCACTGTTTTCACAAGGACTTAGTTCATTAATATTTAATCTAGCAAAACTAATTAGGCAAGTCATATGAAACTCATGATGTATCTAGTTAACTTATTAGTAATAAGTTCATATATCGTATATTTGCTGGTGTACAACAATACAATAACTCAAATTTTCTAATTTGTCACATTAGCTTCCAGAGACTACTTACAGTTTATAGACTACAAGAATAAGCATAAGGAAGATTAGAAATGGGGGGACTCAAATAACTGGAGCTGTAAAATCATGTGGACAAAATAGAAACATTTATCATTATATTAGACATTGACATATGTGTGTATTAATAATCAATTTTGAATAATTAAAGAATTATTATTAATATTAAAAAAGGCAATGTCTGTATTTAAATATTGTCTTCACAACATTGAATAACTTTTCTGGAGAGGAAGGGATTGTGGAGTAGGTCTACTAATAAGTCGTCTGCCCTTTCAGTAGTAACAGTAAATGAACATAGTATATTTTAAATGTATTATTTATAAATACATGTAATATATAAAATATATACACATGTAAAAATAAATAAATTTTACTGATAATCATTTGTGATTGCTAATTTTCTTTGTATTTGTATTCCATCTCAGTGTGGAGTTTGCAACTTGAAATAGTACATTTTGATTCCATTCTCATAACAAACTTTACACAACTTATCTTCAAAACTTAACAAAAGGTAGTAAATACAATTTAATTTTTAATAAGTATATTTGCAGACAATTGGTTTATAAATTTTTATACTTGATTAAAATGTAAGGGATGACAACAATATTGTTCTGTAAGACATCAAACATCAACTACCATGCTATCTGCTATCTGAGTTGGGGAATACATAAAAAAGATTTGGTGAATGTAAGAAAAGACTTGCAGAAAGTGTTTTAGACACAAAATACTACTAGGAAAGTGATGAATGTAGGTAAGAAATATGCTCATAATATTTTGCAAAAGTGTTTCAAGATTCGGTAGATTGCAAATGAAGTAATTGATTTTAATAGTTTAAATAAAAACTAGTGGTGATAAAAAAGCACTACTTTCTCGCCCAAAACTATTTAGCCGTTAGCGTCATTCACATATGTACGGACCAACCGACAGATACATTTCGCTGTCATTCGATTTTTCGGTATCAAGGGCCCCCAAAACAGGTATTCTGGCTTCACAACGTGTAAAGAAGTTTTTCTATATTTAGCAACTGGGTTTATCCACTTTTCAGTTACCTGTACCCTGTAATAAGAGTATTTCTGCCGAAAATTTGCCGTTTTCCCGCGCAGCATTTACATAACACACACTCTCTCTCTCTCTCACTCTCTCCCCTCTCCTCTCTCTCTCCTCTTCTCTCTCTCTCTCCTCTCCTCTCTCTCTCCCCCTCCCACTCCCTCTCTCTCCTCTCTCTCTCTCCTCTCTCCCTCTCTCTCCTCTCTTCTCTTCCTCTCTCTCTTCTCTCTCTCCCTCTCCTCTCTCTCCTTCCTCTCTCTCTCTCTCCTTCCCTTCTCCTCTCTCCTCTCCTCAATAACGAGAAAGTAAAAGTATGCTTTTTCAGCTGAATATTTCAAGTGAATCTTTACTTAATATCATCTTACATTATTTAATTTCATTAAATCCTTCATACTTAAAATAACATTTTTGTATTAAATACTTGTGTGTATTTTTAGCTCTGATGTTGATAGTTATATGCTTGAGATTTTAAGTTATTAAAAATCTTGATATCTAGATTTTTTTCATTTGTTAAGTGGATCTGTAGGCCCAAACACAATTTTCAAAGGTTTCATGAGCCATTGAAAACAATTCAAAGCTTTGGATCAATCTCAAGTAATTCAATTCATTGGATCTTTTCTCTGTTTTCAACAAATCTAGATTTTACACATACTCTTATGAAACTAAACGCTTCTATTGAATATTTCTCTCCAATCCTACAACCTATTCAATTTTTTAATCAATAATGTTTCATCTCTAGAGACAAGTTTTTAGTCCCAGTAAACGAAATAAGCTTTCAACAGCAATACTTTATGTAAATTTTGAATTATGCCTGAGGCACATTTATCAAACAAATTATGAATTTAAGGCTCTCAAGCTCTTTGAACTGTAATGAAAACACTGCAGTATTTACAAGATTTACCGTTGTTCCTGGACGGGGACGTATGCAAGTTCGTTTTCACCCGAGGCAAGAACTCTGGGGGAGGGAGTAAACGCTTGATTTCATAAGTAGTGCTAAGATTCAATTTAGCGCCCCCTCCCAATCTGGCGCTTGGGGCATACTCCCCAGCTGCACCCAGAGTTACGTCTCTGCTTCTGATTACTATCTTTATTTTTTATTATCTCATGTGTCTTGCACAGAAATAGTTGTCATTTAGCCAAATGTGATGAGATTTTTACGGAAAATAGTGTTCTGGGGGGAGGGTTACCCGAAAAGTGTTGCTTTTCTTCAAAACCCAAAACTGGGGTCAACATCGTTTACAAGATTTTCTCCAAAATTTCTATTACTGGTGCTCTCAAGGACCTGCGAATCTGAAATGGATCTTTTAATTTTTTGTGTTGCAGTGGGACAAGAGGAGTCCATAATTCGAATTCGTCGCTGATTCTAATTTTTTTGTCGGTCCCTTTAACTTTTTATTTAATCAACGAATTTTTTTATTTTACAATGGAATTTCACAATTTACAGTTTATTTTACAGTGGAAAATACGCTAGTTGATAATTCCAAGTTCACTCTCCTTAATTCGAAGTTTTTGTACCAAATGTTTTTTCCAAAGGCAGGATTCCTGAAGAAAAGTGATCGACTTAAATCCACAGATATCCATTCACCCCATGCATGGGATGATGGCTTTGGTGTGACATTAGGAGAATTCGTCGCGATGGACGAAAAGGTAGAATTGTGTGGGAGCTGACAGAGTAAATCATTTGAACAAAGTGTTAAAATTGTAGCTTCATCTTGCTTCGTATTGCCAGATGACATTAAACGATTCAAATCGATATACAAAGTTTAAGTCCCAAGTAAAATATTTGGAGACCATATCAACGAGGGACGAAGTATTAATTTTTAACAATTATTTTTAAAGTAAATATTTACTTATTAAAAGAGTGATATTTTCAGACATTTTGAGATCTAAAATCAAACCAAAAAGATGTATCATCTTGA